CAGACCTGACACCTGGGCAGGAAACCTCCATTTCCACAGCTGTACTTCATGGTACCAACTAGGCCGAGCAAGCCAAGGACTCAAAGACCAAAGCCAAGCAACCTACCCCTCTCTCACCTCTGAAGACCAAGCACCACCAAAAAGCAAGAGGTTATTACTGCTGGCCAGCCATCTCCTCATTTTTTAACAGCTAAAGCCTGAGACACCAACAATTACTGCTTTCTTTTTTTTTTTTTTTTACCTATTTAACTCTTTGGTAGAAACATAATTTAGACAGACTTTAATTTGAGTGTTGTTTAATTTTTGCCATAATGATATTTCTCATTAATGTATGTACAACAGATATTAATAAATTTGTTCATGTAGTGAAGTGAACTTCAATTTCTCAGTTCATTAATTTCCACAATATTAATTTGCTTCAGATTCTCTGTTGCAGCTTTATGGTTTGGAAGAGCTGGGTACATACACGTGTCATACGTTGCACAACCTCCTCCCAGCAGCGTGGGCTGCACCACCAGGATTGTTCCTTGGATCCAAGCTCAGGTGATGCTCTTGAAACAGGTTGAAGTTTTCCAACTTTGTTCCTTTTTTTCCCTCCCAATAGGCTTATATCATTGTTGCAGGGAGTTCTAATATGCATGTTTAAAATCTGAACAGCCAGCAAAGTTACAGAACCAAAGTTGGCACGAGCTCTTTCTACCCAAACATTTAGTTTCTGTATTATCACCTACTGAATCTCCTGAGTTTTCAGGCAGTTTGGCACATCAGGCAGCTCCAGAAAGATTTGGTTCTGAGTGCAGGATAGGATGAGAGGCAATGGCCTCAAGTTGCACCAAGGGAGGTTGAGGTTGGATTTTAAGAATTTCTTCCCCAGAAGGGTTACCAGGCATTGGAACAGGCTGCCCAGGGCAGTGGTGGAGTCACCATCCCTGGAGGGATTTAGAAGTTGCATAGACACAGCACTTAGGGATATGGTTTAGTTAAGGACTTCTCAGTTTTAGGTTGATGGTTGGACTTGGTGATCTTTAAGGTCTTTTCCAACCAATGTAATTCCGTGTGCACCTGAACCCAGGGGACACGGGAGCTCATTTTGAGGTGCTGTTATGCTGCAATCCAGCCCTTGGCTGTCCTGGACATTAAGATCACCACAGGTGAACCCAGAATGTAGGGGTTTTGTGGTCCAGTTTCATTGAGGAGCTGTCGTGGTGCTCCACATAAGGAGGTGATGGGGGGATGCAAAGGCTCAGTCCTGAAGCCAGCACCAGATGTGCTTCACCAGCCAAGCAAAGTATGAAGGTCCAGGGCTGATCTGGACATTTGCTTCTTCAGAGAAGGATTTAGCAGAAACAAAAGTCCAGATTATTTTTTCTTTCAGAGGTTGTGTGCATAAATACCTGCATACCCAGCACGCCATTATTTGGTGCTGACACCCTGCACAGCTTCATCACAGAGCTCCTGTCATCTCCTGCCTGGCTTCTGCCAAACATATAGGTTGTCTGCTGCACAAGCCTTAATTCTTTAAGTGATTTATCCATTTTTGGTCAATTTAGCCATTTTTGTTTAATTCTGTCTGGCACACTGGAGGTGAGGGTGATGAAAAAAATGGTGCTCCAGCCATTTATTTCACTAGTTATTTTAGTAGCAACACTGGACAATTGTAAATTTCTGTACCACGTTTCCCACTGTGCAAATTGATACCAAATGTCTCCCGAAAGATAGATGGGGCAGCCAGTTTTTTAATAACAATTTTAACAGTTTCATCCAGGGGAAGGCCAGAAGATTAAGCAGGATGCAATATTATAAGAATATAGAGAATCTTTAGCTCTGCTTTATGACCATAAAGCTTAACCAGTGAGCAGCATCTTTTGCAATCTATAAAAAGTCAATTACATTTGAACACCTTACAACTTCACTTATAACTTAATACTTATAACTTTGTCAATTACATTTGAACACCTTACAACTTCACACTTATAACTTCACAGAGATCCCGTGCTTTCTTGTTAAAAAAAATCATATTTTATACTTGAAAGGTCCATTGTTTGACACAGGAAAAAGCACTCTGCCCTAAGGAGCCCATCCACCAGCATCCTGCTCGTAAAAAATTGTGTAAGTACCTAAACTTTCTGCTCATAGGCTGAGCAGTGGAAGTCATAGAGAGCTAACGAGATTGGGGCTTTCTGGAGAAGGCCCAAGGGCCCTTTTCTGTAGCCTTACTCATAGGAGTGAGTCACACCCACAGGACAATGGGGGGGGAAGTTTCTTCTCTTCGAGCTGCTGCTTCCGGGTTTTGACCCTAATTACGGTCTCAGTTGGCCCAGGATGGAGGCACAGCAGGCAGAGGGGGACATCTGACTGCAGCAGGGAAGACCACTACATCACCTGCACACTAGGCCTGAGCTTTCCCCACTTTGTCTTCTTTATTTTGTTCTTAAACCCTGTCTTGGATCTCTTCAGGAAAAAAGTGAATCCCTTGGTTGGCTACAGACCACTCCATGTTCACACTTTGGCAGCAAGTCCCTAAGCACAGGGTGGCTTTTTTTGGGACATGCTTACTAGCAGCAAGATCTTGCTTCTCGTGTGGTGGGCTCAGGTGGTCCCTTAGCCTGAAGTTAGAGCAGCTCTACCGCTGCTTTATGCTACATTAGGAGACAACACAGTCCATCTGAGGTGCAGATAGAGCTCCATAGTTCTGCTCCTGCTTCCTCATCACTTTAGTCTTACCAAGAACAGTGTATTTTATTTTTTTTTGTACCCAGACAAATCCGACAATGATTTACCCAGTGAGGATTGGTGCAATCAACACCTAAATCCCTGTAAAAGGTGCAACATGTCAGTTGTGCTGTGCTCCCATCTGACCCTGCCTCTTCACCCTGCTAACCTACCTCCATAGGAAAACCAGGGCTGCCTGGCCCCATCGTGCTGTGTCTGATGTCTGGCATAGTGTGGACAACCACCTTCCTCAACCAACTGGGTTCTCCTTCAGAACAGAGCTTCTGTGAGGAGAAAGTAACAACATCCCGCAAGAGAGAGAGGATATCCTGCCCTGTGGTCAAAACAGCACATCAGCCAGATTATAAACTGCAAGATTCACCTTAGATACAACAGACCAGGAGCTCATACTTCTGTCTTGGCCTGACTAAATGCATGTGTGACTGTTCCTAACAAGAGAACAAGCTCTTCAGCTGTCACTCCTTCACATCCCACTGCATCATGAGGCTCTGTACCCAAAAACTTGAACTGTGTTGGGCTTTATCTCTTGGATCCCATATTTTAACTTAACGCAGCAAATGTGCTAATCAGAAAACTCAACCTGTGTGTACACTTAATTAAACTTGGGCTCAGTGTCAACAAATGGCCAAGAAAATAGGCAGAAGGAAGCAGAAACCCCCTGGAGAACTGCACAGGTAAAATGGAGTGGAAATAAGTATCTCCTGCATTTCTGGCTTTTCTCTGTGATGTTTCACATAGGAAGTACACCTCTCTCTTGCCACTCAGTTCTGGCTGCAGTGCAGCTCCAGGCACTGACCTGTGAGGACCAGCTGGGTGAGGTAGTATCAGCCCAAAGCCTTTTGTGGCCTCAGTCTGAATTAACTCAATAGTTTTGGTGGGAAAACATGATGGTGCCTCTGCTGGGTGGTAAAGGAACTCATGGAGGATATGTCAGATGCCATTTGATTTTCTCCTCAGCCTGAGGGGACCTGAACCCACATATTTTACCTTCTGCTAGAGTACCCTGACTCTCATGATATGGAGCTCTGCTACTTTGCATAAATTATTCAACATTTTGTCACAACCCTGGAACTCCAGGTGCTCCAGTTACCCCACCAGAAAGACATTCTTGCTATTTCTGTCAGTCATTTTGCTCAACACAAAACAATTCAGCTGCTTCAGCTGGGTGAGGTAATTTTTATGGTAATTTTTGTATTTTTCTATTCATTCTCAGTTTGG